ACAATCTCCGGTGACGTCGTCCTGAAAACAACGTTAATGTGGGTGATGGACAAGCTTACGGCCATGGGGCATCATGTTACGAGCATGATAAGGACTGAAGGACAGCAGAGGACGAGACTTCTACTGTGATCCCTGCGCGCCCCCTTGAAGAAAACTGAGGTGAAGTGGTGCTGGAAGAGAATCGTACGGAGGAGGCGGACTGCAGGAACGGCTGCCGCCTCTCAAAGGTTTGCCCTCAGGCTGCTGAATAGTACCTTCCCCAACACTAACATTGAGATGCATCAAGGCGCCTTTTAAGGGGCTCCGTAGTCTTTGCGTTTTTTTTTTTTTTTTTTTTTACGCGTTGGTGAAGGGCGAGCTTCTTATTTACTAGGATACCAAGACGCGTCCAATGTTCGAGTCCAGGGAAGGGCTCAGCCTTGAGTTGGACCTCAAAACCAAACACTACATGGAGGAGTGTCAACAATTACAGCTATACAAACTTAGTTAGGGATCCCTCCAATGTGATGTAGTTCGCTTTGGGGCCCCGATTTTGAGAAAGCTACTTCCACAACCTAGGCTCCCACTTCACCTACAGGCTGCTTGGCTTTGATTGGCTACCGGCTACCATGTGGAGTGTATTTGGCTTGGAGACCCGGGTTTGGGGCCCAAAGTCCTGAGTTGACGGGGAGGGTTGAGCTTAAAGGTTCTTCAGGCCATTTTGAGAAACCATTTCTAGGTGTGCATCTTGCTGTACAGGAATCCGAAACCAAGCCACGATTACTCCCTGAGGCCCGCCATCTTTGCATATTTCATATATAGACACGCAGTCATAGACTGCCTGTGACCCGTTGCATCCTACACCCATGGGTACACAGTACACGTACTCCCTGCGACAAAAGCTTGAAGGAAACTTATATGTAAGGCAGGCCGAGGACGAATGCAAGCACTACCGCATCAACAACGTGGGCGGGACCCCAGTGACGGCGAATGCTAAGGCAGGAATGGTGGGATGAAGCCGTCTAGGGAATTTGCATTGGGGGCTCGGGGTTTCATGTAGTTTGACTTTGGGCTGAGGAAAAGGCTTCTGGGACCGCCATTTTGGACATACGCATTCCCATTACAAGACCAAGAAACGGCTGGAATATTATTGTAGGTACCTGGCAAATTGCAAAATATAGTTCTGTAATCATGTGTAACGTGCTGTAAGCCAAAAAACCTTAACGAGAACTGGCATCAGGTCACCGATTGTACCGATTTGGCGACGTGCATCCGTTTGAAGCACCACGATTGGCACTCCGATTGCACTATTGAGAGAAGGGTTCAGGGCTTACTGTTCAACAATTCGGGATTAGGATTTGGCTCCCGGTTTTCAGCGTCATTTGAACATTTTGCGTATCCTAATTATGGGCGGCGTGTAAACTCTGAAGGGACCTGGTTGGACAGTTCTTTTTTAACTGCAATGATCTCAAACTCTTGGGTCCGTAAATCCAAGCCCCCAAACCCCTCAAGCCGACATAACGTTAAACCCTGAAACGTCGAACGCCCTAAACTCAGCCGCAGCCCATCCCCAAAGCATTCGCCCTTGTGGTAGTCCCTTCAATTTCCTGAGCAGTTTTCAGCCATGGCGGAGGATCCTCGCCGGGGACTATTGCCCCATCGACTACGACATTCGAAGGGGAGGTCCCGTTTACCGAAAGGACAGCTAGATTCCACAGGAGGCATCCAGCTCAAACGGTTAACGGGTCCGGGGTTCCGTGGCTGAGGGGTGTAAGAGGAATGATTTCGGGTCAAAGGTTGAGGAAGTCGAGTTTCACGGTTGCGGGTTTTAAGGGTTTCAGGGTTCAGGGTTTAGTTTTTGTAAGGCTCAGCCCTGGTTTTGATCCAAGATGTCCCTTGCAATATGTATCAGGGGGCGTTGACGGTTAGCTTTAGCGAAGAGCGGGCAAGATTTGAGATGGGATGTTGTGCATGCTGGGTTCAGATCCCGCCGAGGTGCGTAGATCCCGATGAGATAAGATAGACCTGAATAGATTCCTCACCCAGAGAACTGAAATTCAGAGCCCCAGGAACCTGAGTGGGGCTTATAACTTGAGCACGGAGCCTTTGAAAGAGCTTCTCTTGCCCGCCATAGAAGGAGAGTTCCACATTGTTTCAAAGTTAGGGATTGGGTTTTGGGTTTGGGTGATTTCGTCTTGAAATCACATTAGTAAGGTTTATGAGCGTTTTGCAAAATTGGCCCAGTCCCGGGCTCAGGTCTTGACCCTAACGTCCTTCAATCCTAAACCCATAAGTCCTGAACTCTGAACTTGCCGGAAATATTGATTGTTGTGGGGTGGGAGTGAAAAAATGAGTGGGGACTTAACCACCTGTGACCCTTATGGAATCCTTGCAATCCCCTTGTAGCGTAATCCTGCCGTATTCCTGCGTCCCAACCTCTGAAACACAAAAGTCGCAACGGCTACACGGCTACGCCCCAAGATGCGCAATGCTCCCTGTACACCCTCAGATGAGCCCAAGACCCTGAAGCATCCTGCATTCTACGCGAGCATTAAGACTATGTTGAGCCGTGTGTACTTGTACCTCTGAAGTCCTTTGAGAAAACTGGAATCTGCACACCCTTTCGCACCCTTTCCCTTGAATCATCTGTCCAAACCCCTGAATCACTTTGGAATCCCCCTTCGTCCCTAATCGGGTGCTTACAGAGTCCCTAAACGTCCTCAACCCCAAGTCCCGAAATCCCCAATCCCTCAATGCCTCGGCCGTGCACGCTGCAAATCGAAATCCCTAAGCTTTCTGGACCTCTCATCGCTCTAACCACCCTCAGGTGATGTACCTTGCGACAGTCCCAGCAACCTCGACCTCGTCCTGCGCCTTCGGTAGCTGGCTCGTACAGCGCGCGAAGCCTGAGGAGGACTACGTGGCTTGCATCCCTAAGAGGGGAAAAAGCTGTTGCAAGGGTTTAGGGTTTAGGATCTTGGGTTGAGGGCTTCGGGGTTTTGTTTTTCGAAGGTTGGAGCTCCGGGTTTAGGGTTGGCGGCTCAGTGGCGCAGAGAGTTCAGCTATCAACACACAGAGACCGTATATACTCCGACGGGATTTTGTTTAATGGATGTCGGGTGAGAGAATAGGGCAGCATTGGACCTATAAACTCTGTCAGTGACTTTACATCTTGTTTTTCGCTGGAAAGCTTGATCCGGAGGTGAGATAAATTCCGAACCCCAATGCTGATTGGCTAAGCTGGTTAGATTTAAGCCCTAAGCCCCAAACCGTAAGCCTAAACTTGAAACCCGGAGCTCCTCGAATCAAAGGTGGATTCCAAACTGGGTTACTTCGAGCTAAAGGGCGAAGAGCAGCTTTGCCTTGATGCGGGCGTGCCCAGCACGAAGACGATCCTTGGGCGGGCAAGATGATGGGATTCAGCTGCAGGGCTTCGGCAGGATGAAAGGTTTGCGAGAGGGATTTGAGATTTGGGTTGCTGGTCTGGGGGTTCAAGGTTTGAGATTGAGGGTTCTTCTAGGGGTTTAGATGGGGAGCCTGCAAAAGAGTACCAGGGAAGCTTGGGTGTTTGATAAGTTGCAGCGAACCAGGGCTGAAGTATTCTTGTGTAAGCCGAGATACGACATTCTGGGTTGTTCTTTGCAGCATACGCTATGAAGGCCCACGAGGAGTGTGCAACTTCACGAGAATTCCCAAAACACGGGATTTCTATATGAAACCATCATAAACTCTAAGCTGGAACCTCCACAAACCTGAAGCCCCAACTCTTTAAACCGCTGGCCCCCAAACTCTTACTTGCCAATCCTGCAACCCATCAAGATACACTAGTGCAAAGGGGGAGCGGGGGAGTGAGTCCCTTTACAATCTCCTTGAAAACCACCCTGAGGCTCTACCAAACTTTCGCGCTTTCCCACTCGCCCTAAACCCGACCCGGAGGGAGGCGGGGAAGCCCAAGGATTTCCGTGGCCGGTGACAGCCCGAGCAATTTCACTGCTGCTCAGCCGATTTGAGTCAAAATTGCACGGTAGTCAGGGGATAGCGTTGGTTTTCAGAAGTGTGTTTGGGGTTGTAGTGTTTATGGGTTAGTGGTTGGGGTTTGGAGTTTTGGATTTGGGTCCGGGGTATTCGGGATTGGTAGGGTGGGCCCCTGACACGATCCCCGTCAGAGAAGTCCATAAGCCAGAGGTGGTGAACCGAGGCTGCATACGCAAAGGCTTCCCCCAAAAGATTCCAAAGGCCTTCACTAGCCCCGGCATGAGACCCCAAGGATCCCTCGAAAGCTAAACTCCTCTAAGGTCCTAAATTCTACATCCAAAGCCCCAGACCCCAACCCCGAAAACCCAAACCCAAAGCTGGCTTAGGTTGAGCTGGACTGGGCAACCTTGGCATGCCCACAGCCTCTGACGCATGAGGCGGAGTTGCCGATACCTCTCGGGGCTTAGGACTCCGGGGCTATGGGTTCCGGATCAAAGGTTTAGGATGTAGAGTTCTTCGCTGGGGGTGTGCAGAGGAAGCCCACAACAACTCTGTTTGGGTGTGGAGGATTTGGGTTTGGATCTTGAGATAGGTATACCCTGCACGGGAAGATGGTGCAGTTTTCTGCGTCAAACTCAGGGTTGCTTCCCTGGGTCCAGTACCTGCTAGCTTCTGTCAATGATCCTTGCAAGTTCCTCAGAAATGCAAAGTGACCTAAGCAAACGACGACGACGATGATGACGACCAATATCTGAATATCCTTGGCATTTTCTCAGTTTAAACTTTTTAGAAGCTTCCAGCCCTAAGTCCGAAGCCATAAACCGGAAGCCCAAATCCCGAAGTCTTAATCTTTAAGCCCCAATGCCCGAACCTAAGCGCGAAACCATATGCCATGAAATGAGGGTTGGGAATTCCTTTCAGGGATTATATTATAGGCTTGATTTTGAAGAACACCCGATGTCCCCTCAGGTGGAAGATGAGACAGTCCACCCCCTCATCTTCGATGACCCCACGACGCTGCTTGGTTTACCATTGGGGGGTGAGGGTTTGGGAGGTTAGCGCTTTGGGATTAGGACTGTTGGGCTTTGGGGCTTTAGAGCCCTGGGTTTGGGGGTTTCAGGGTTTAGGACTTGAGGGCTCAGGGATAGGAGTTGTGGGGGTCTATGGGCTTGTGTAGGGGATGCTGAGCAGTGACGGAACCTCATTCTTTCTGGGTTCATGGAAAGGTTTGTAATGACCTGTTGCTGAACTGTAATGAGCAGCAGCATCCAGACATTCCTCCAAAAACATGAATACTTAGACTCCAAAGGCATCAATTCTTGACAATTTCCTCCTGATCTATACCTGCATGCTGCTTATTCTTGGACCTCCCCAAAAGGACACAGAATTACGAGATAAGTCCCAGAAGCCGACATGAAGCCTAAACACCCAAATTGCCAAATCGCCCAACCCTTGAAACCTAAACCCCCAAGACCTACCCTTGCTCGTCCAGATTCCAGGTAGCCCCTACACGCAAACCCTGAACCCTGACCTGCCAAGCCTTAAGCAAGAACCCCAAATCGTGACCGAGGCCTCAGCCAGACGACTACTGGCTCCACCCCTGTGATTGCATCCCACCAGAGCCCAAGCTGCAGTTTCAGGGATATACGTTGTCATTCTTGGTACCATTTCCAGTTTTTAGTTTTCAAAGCCAATAAGGCATGTCTGTTGCGCATTTGAATCATATCCAAAGAAGAAGGTTGGAGGTTCTTGTTGACAGCTCAGATTAAGGCCCTGTAAGGATTAAACAGTTGTAAATGTTACTAATACCCCAAGAAGGAACCAGTTTAGGAATTCCTTCGGAAGTAGTATCTTCCGCAAGGATCTTGCGCTTTGAGTTCCCTGTCCGCAGCGGTGACTCAGGAATGCCAAGCCCTGATGGTCTGTTAGAATCTTTTTTCAGCCTAGACATCTTTAAAGAAGTAGGTGGTCCAGAGCACTCCGCTCGACGTATAGACTCCAGGATCTGCGAATCGTGAACTTCAGCCCACACCAAGCCCTAGACACCCTAAAACGTAAATTAAAAGCTGAGGCCTGAAAGCCTAAACCCCCCAACCCTAATCTTTAAGCCCCAAAGCCCCACATCATTCCACATCCTGAACCTTAAGTCTCTAACCTCGCGAAAAGCAAGCCCAGGAGTGGGGCCTCGGCTGGCCAGCAAACGCCATGATTGCGGAGGGGCTGCCTGCGGACAGCGATGGCGGCAGCCTTAGGTTGTTCTGCTGTTGGGATCGAAGGGTTTGGGTTCAGGGGTGAGGGTATAGGCTATAGGTCTAGGGATTACGCTTCTGGGCTTAGGACTTGCACTAAGGCTCAGGGTTTGGTTTCATATGGGCTTTATACGTCTTCGAAGAACAGAGGTCATCAGTACTACCTCTGCTTTTCCTTTGCATGTTGTGGCTGCAACGCGCCTTTGCATCATTGCGGGGTGGAAATTTTGTGAAGCTATTTGGAGGTTTCAAGAAAAGCGTCTCGTAAATCCTACGTCGCCAGCCCTGACGCGTGAATTCGGGGTATGTCTTAAATCCACCGCTACGAACTTCAAAGAGTTGCATCCTGAGCATGGCCACGGCCTGAAGCCTCGAGGTTCTTTCATTCCCCCGCCGCTGCTTATCGTCCAGGGCCAGTTCGCCTGCCCCTCCAGGCAAGGCTTTACAAATCGAGCGCCGCAATCTTTCAATGTTCAGGTTTTGGGGGGGCAGGCCTGCGTAAAAGGTCGAGACATGCGTCGGCAAATCGAGTTTGACTTTGCCCACTGATGAGTGGAATGATGAAAGCATTTCATCGAAGGATGAGCAAGGGGTCAGAGGGGCACATCCTAAGCACAAGCCCGGAAAGCCAGCTTTGATGGCAAAGAGGCAGCTGCTACCCGGCAAGCGTGGGATCTACTTTGAGACGGAGGCGTCTCCATGATCGCATGAAGACTGGAAAGGGTGGTGTTCAACTTGGGTTTGGGGTTTGCAGTTCAGGCAGTGGGCCATATTTTTGGGTACGTATGGAGATGTGCCAAACTTAGGGTTGTACCATGCCAAAGATAGGGACCCTCATATAGGCACGATGGTCTTGGTATCTTGCCACTTGCTACGTCTCCGGTACGGGCCCTCAGCTAGCAGTAATCCCAACAACCCCCCCAAACCCTAAACAGCTGAGTCGGTGTTTTGCCCGACCTAAACTGTTCTGATCTGGCTAGGCGAAAACGGGGAGGGGCGTTTTCAGAAAGCCACATCCCCAAAGTTTGCGCCCGAAATTGTAAACTCTCGAAGCTTAAGAAGCCCTGAATTTGCAAACCTCTTCCAAATCCGGTGCCCCTTGTTCGGGGAAGGCAGAAGCCTTCGAGTCCGCCGATTGTCAGGAGCGCTGCAAGGATTTTGCCGCGCGGCATTCGATGATGGGTACGTGGGTTCATGCTGTATTGTGGGTAGAAGGCGTACGAGTTTGTGGTGTACGGGTTTATGGTGTGGCCAGGGGTTTTGCATACACATTGTGTAGGACGTAGGATGCTTTGGATTAGGGTTTAGGATTTTGGCATGGGGTTGTAAATCTGAGCGGCAGGTTTGGTTTCAAGTGCCATTTGATGCCTCCATGGGCTCATCGAGCCTTCTTCCCAAAGATTCACTGCATTGCCTGCATTCCAGAAACCATCAACCTGATCACCAAGCAGCACATCACCATCGCCCATGTTGGGGCCCTAGGAACCAAGCTTCAAAAGCACAGACGCACCAACATCTCAAGATCCTAAAGTTTTTTGTCGCCTTTCGTGTTTAGGTTTAGCATCGCAGTGGTCGTCAAGATTCCCGTCCACCGTCCACCTTTTCCACTCAGTGTAGATTATACCCCACCAGGAGCACATTTTAAAGAAACTCAAGCCGTAGGTCCGTAGGTATCCTTGGTGAGTCCTATGTACAAGTAGAACATACCTGGGCACCCTGTTGTCTAGCCTGTTCTACCTGAATTTCGCGTTGCCGCTGACCCACTCACATCGCGAACACGAAGCCCCAAGCGTGTTTGCAGCTGCCCAGCTTAGGTCGACTGTGCATTCTACTGGACTGGCACCCTGGTGTGTGGAAATGAATCGCCGCCAATAATATTAAAGCCCCCTCAACTCCCCCCTAATACTAAACATTCCCAATGTATTCTAGTATACCACAATTGGAAACATTCAAGGTTTGGTGGAGGTGGGCGGTTTTTTTGGAGGGAGGGAATTAGCGCGGATCACTGCAGAAGCACAAACATTTCCACAGCATCTGAACTCGCTGAACCTCACCCTCATGCAACCTTCATCGTATCTTTGTATGAGTGCTAGGAATGCTACCAGGTACCTGCCCTGCTACGAATACTATGTTGTGGAGTCTCACCTTCACTGCTGTTCTCCCTCTCTCACTCTCTCTCTCTCTCTCTCTCTCTCCCTCTCTCTCTTAATCTGGCTACTGACACTCTTATTAGTTCAATCACTGTGATGACCTCTGATCACCCATCGTTGTGATGACGTACCATCGCATGCAGCCCAGTGTCATGTGAAGAGCTGGAGCAAAGTTTGTCCTAGGCACCTCCCATGGAGCACAGACTTGTCGCCTCTTCAGCGGATGCGACAGCTTGGTTCGGGAGTCCCTGGGTACATTTGGAACCGAAAGCTTATAGAGTCCTTTTTTAAAGGTCAAGCAAGGATTTAGGGCTTCAGGGCTCAGGCTCAGGATTTCATATTTCAGGGTTTGGTTTGTGAAGGTGGGGATTGCAGGGACCCATCCCGTTCCGCACATCATTGGGAAGCGAAAGGACGGCATCGCTTTACGGGGCTTGTAAGCTCCTGGAGTTTGCCTTGGGCGGCTTTGGATGCAGGATTGTGGTCTTAGGGCGGAGCATTTCTGGCTTTCCGGGTCTCAAGTTCTGGGTGCCAATTTTTGAAGCAGAACAGGTCCACATGTAACATCCATGCATAGAGAGGACGTGACCTCGAAAACGGGGCCCTGAAGACCTTAAATCATGGACCTGAAATTCTGGCTCTTGGATCCTTAAATTCTCAACCTTAAGCCCCCACCCTAAACTTGGCAACAATAAATCTGACCGAGCATGGATTGAGACAAAGTCAGTTGATGTCTGGAACTGCTAGAGAGGGCCTGAAGGTTTTTGGTGGCTGGCTAGGGCTCATGGATTCTTGAGATCATGGGCTGTTTCGGCATTTGTACATTCCCAGATTTGGATATTTTGTGGTATAAGGACCCACAAGCGGAAAACCCAATACCTAAACGTTTGATTCTCCATTATCGCAGAAAAATCCTTATTCTCAGTTCTGGGAATGACCAAGGTTCGGCATGGATGGTGATCTCTATGCCTTGTAAGGGCCTTGGGACGCGAGGGGTCATGCCAGGGTCTCCATGGTAGCTGTTGGGGTACGGTTGGGGCTTCAGGTATTGGGTTTAGGGTTTGAGCTTTTGAGTGCAGGGCTCCTGAGGGCTTTAAGCTGAAGGGTCAGTATGCGCCTCGAGGATCAGGAAGGGCATGCTCTTTGGCAATTGGAATATGGGATTCGGACTCATAGCCAGGGTTCCTTGGGATAGTTCTTTATGGAGAAGCGATGCAAGCCGACGACTCATACAGATGGATTTTGCTTCGGCTGTCAGACAAGATTGAGCTTGGCGTAGTGTAACCGGTCAATAAGCGGACTGCTTAGGTGGGAGCCCTTATATACCGGCTTTCCTGCAAGGCCGGATCAGATCTTAAATCCTCCTAACTTCCAATCCTCGTAAGCTTTAAACTACTGCTTTGAAATTTTCATCCTCAACTCCACACCTGAAATCTTAGAACCCTAAGCCCCAAACTAGGAACCCAAACCCAGATCCTCCATTAACAGGGCTCAGCCCCGTTTGTTCGGCTTGTGGGTTGGCTTGGCGGCGTAGGGTTCTGAAATTAGGGTTTAAGGTCTTGGGTCTCGGGTCTGGGATTTAGGGGGTGAGGGTTCAGGATGTAAGTTTTTTGTGTTTTGCGTGTCGTGATTCGATATTTCCACCCTCGCTGGATGATGCAGCATCGACCCACGACCCCACACGTTATCCCTGAACCCGTAAGCGCTGCCTGGATCTGTCAATGTAGTTCCTTTTCGGGTTTTGATATGTTTTGAGGTTGCGACTCTTCCAAGGACACCCAAAAAGCACGTGCCTCTTTCCCAAGCCCTACGCCCTAAACCTGTACGTAGCCCTGAACCCTGAATCCTAAGACCATCCCTAAACCCTAAACTCCAAGCTTTCCACCCTAAACCTGAGGCCCCAGAACAAGAGCTGCCTGGTGGCAAATCCCGATGTCTGCTGGAAGACCACGCTTCGCAGGCAGGTAGCCATGGCTTTAAGGATTAAGGATGGGCGAGGGTGAAAGGAAAGGAGCTTTGGGTTTAGGGTTTAGGGTTTAAGGATTAAGGCTGAGGGTTTTGGGTTCAAGGCTTATGGATCAGGGTGGCAGGATCTGCATCCTGTAGAGGGTTGCATGGGGGGAGTATATAGGGGACCGTCTAGGAAAACATAGCGGGCTAGTGGAGGTTGTATGGTTGTGATCAAAGCTATTGGCCTACTTCTGATGTCTTAGCAGTAGCTGTTTAATGACCTGGCAAGCCCTCTACCTCAAGTGCAAAGCTGCAAGCTCCAAACTTCAAGCCTTGAAACGGGCAGGCAGTTCTTGACTCAAAAAGAGAGCGTGGCGCCCTCTTTCCAGCACTCTGCTTACCGCTACAATGCAGGAGTCTGTTCAGGGTCTGGCTTGAAGCTTAGGTTCAGTCAGATTGAGGGTTCAAGGATTCGGGTAAGGAGCTGATACTCAGGCGCGTAAGGGGAGTCGGATTCTTGAGCTACGGCTGCAGTGTTCATCATGTCTACCTCTTACTGCCACCACTGCCACCATGCTAGCCAATCTTGCACCACTAGGGGTATGTGCTGTTGCAATTCCAAAGCTATCCGGGATAGTTTACAGCGCCTGACTGCTTAGTCAGTACTAGCCTGCGTGAGTCTTGATTCATGTTGTGGGCAAACCCTTTGCACAGTCTGTGGTCTAAAGGCCTAAATATTGAAGTTTAAATGAGTACAACAAGCACCAGCCTTATCGTTTAGGATCTGTATACCACATGCCGAAACCCTATTCCAACACATTGGGACCCTGTAAGTATCAGACCTGTGAGGTGATCATGGATTTCTTTTCTGGGTGTTTTAGGGAGATTAGCAACAAGGTATCTGGCTGGAGGGTTTAGATTTGCACGCCCAGGAGACCCTGCGTCGTGGTAGCTTGACAGTGCACCTTTTGGGTCCCCATATGACATTCCCGAAGATGGGCCCTCAAGTGTCTCAACCGTGGGAGTTGCAATGCCAGTCGGAGAACAAGAGGTTTGTGATGTCCGTGAGTGGCGCGTGGTTGTGTGCAAGTTTTGTCGCACGCCTGAAGACATATACTAGAGACATGAAGGAAGTACAAGCAAACCCAAACACTAAACCTAAGTCCTAAACCCTCAGCAATAGACTTTGCTTCGATCATTTGCTCACAGTTGAAGGGTGAAGGTTTGAAGGATGTTGGAACGAAATAGCCACGGCGCCAGGCTGGAAAGTAAACTGTTGCCCCCTCAGTGCCCGTCAATCCTTGCCACAGGAGGGTTGGCGGATTTCCAGGGCAACGCCTCTCTGTTGCTGGACCGCGAGTTCACCTACGAGGTGGCCTGAACAATCAGTAAGCGGAGAGGGCTGACATGCCTTGAAGAAATGCCTGGAAGAATACTGAAGATTTACATTTAGGGTTCAGGCTTCAGGAGACCCCATAAACCCCTAAATGCCACACCGTTTGGGGGCATGGTGCACATGGACGGCCGTGTCTCCCATAAATCCGCATAATTTTCCTGAACCATCAAACCCTGAAACTCTAACCCAAAAAAGATTCCGACGTAGCCTGCTCCCTCAACCTTACGTGTCCCGTGATCTCGAAAGTTTTAAAATCTAATTGTGGGACTTTAATGACATTTAGTGACCCCAAAATCCAGAATGACAACCCTATAGCTATCACATGACCATAATCGCGTCCTACATTGAGCGGCTGGGTATATGAAAAAACTCCTAAGCCTCAAGTCAAGCCCTAAGCATATCCTTGTCAATCCCACAGGAGAAGTTGGGAGAGACCTCGACCGTCAAGCTATTGGGCTGGACTGAGATTTTCAAGCCGATGGGTTATGCTGCTGAGCTGATGTTGGTCTTGCCGAATGTTGCGCAGACGGTTCCCGTTTTAAGTGTTGGGGTCCAGGGTCCAGGAGGTGACGAAATTTGTTGCGTTTGTGTTTGCAACGGTTCATCAAGCGTGCGCAAAGCGTTCGCGAGTGTCGTGTCCTGGCTGCAGGTGTGGAACCCCCCCGGCCAGGATGCCGGTGACAGGGATGGGGCTCCTGGTTGTCGCCATCTTCGCAATTGCCGTTGCTTTTGCACCCTCGTGTCTGGAGGGGAAAGTGGAGTGGAAGGTGGAATGCAGAGTGGAGTGGGGTTGGAGAATGGGGGAGAGTGGAGTGGCAAGCGGTAGATGGGAGTGTGCCGAGCGTGAAGAGTGGACTTCAGAGCAGAGTGTGGAGAGTGGAGAGTGGAGTCTGCGGGTTGGAGTCTGGAGGGGGGAGAATTAGCAACGGAGAGTGAGCAGGTCTTTCAGAACGCAGAGTGTTGAGTGGAGTGTGGAGTGTGGCGTGTGGAGAGTGGCGTGTTAATGGAGAGTAGATGGAGTCGGGAGTGGAGAGTGGAGTGTTTTCGTCGTGTATTCTGCGTATCCTGTCGCGTGACGCGTCTCAGCTACGTGCCGTGTGTCTGCATTCGGGTTCGCGGATCCCTAATTTTTTTTGGTTCCAAAGGGTTTGGGTTTAAGAATTTGGGGGTAAAGGTTTATATTTGAGGGCTTGGGCCTAGTGTTTGGTGCGGGATTGCGGTTTAGAGTTCAGGGTTCGGCTTTCGCCTTTGATAAGTCTTCTACTTGCCGTATATGGAGTTTTGCTGGTTCCCAGGATTCATAAATGGGAAGGAGGTCTCCAGCGTTTTTTTTTGCTTTGCAGGCCTTTGCGTGGTCATGCAGGCAAGAGACGATGGGTTGTTGTCAAGATGGCAATGTTTTGGGATGCATTGTTGGCTTCATGTCATTGGGTTCAGTTTTTTTTTTGTAGTGGCTGCTACTCAGTAGAACGCCTAGAAGAGTTTCGGTACAAGAGCTGGTTCTGCCTCCCGAGTGGCGCTTAACTTGAAGGACGACTTCAAGTGGGAGAAGGTGGATTCAGGGAGCATTTTTTGGCCATCCTTACACTTCTGCTTGCCTTCTCCCCTACAACAAGAAATCATCAGACTAATCATATAGAACACAGAGACAAAGACTTGCTCTGCTATCAAACATGCTGAAGCGCCTGCAGCCGTACTTCCTCATGATTGGTCCCCAATCCTTAAATCATAAACCCCAACCCTTGCCCTTTATCCGCGACCCTAGACCCTCAGCCTTTAGACCTCGACCCCAATCTGCTGAGCCCTAAGCAATTGAAATTGTTGAGTATCAAGGTAGTCTGCATCTGCATGTTTTTTCCGAAAGTGGGCCTAGAAAGACTGCCCTTATGAGGGGTCTGCATGGACTTCTGTGCTACTTCGAGGGAGGGTAAGCTGTAGAAATCTCAAGCCCTTAAGGTGAGAGGCGTGGGCGGCTTGGCCAGTGCAACAGTGCAAGGCCTGAACCCAAACCAGGAGCTTGCTGGTGAGCTTCTTTTTGTTTTTTTTTTCAGGCTAAAGGGAGGTTCTATCTAGCGTTTCGGGTTAAGGGTTCAAGGTGCTCGGGTTAGGAGTGCAAGTGCTCAGGATTTTCAAGGATGTAAGGCTTCATGAGAAATAAGCCGTTGATGAACGTCTGTTTCTCTTGTATGTAGTTCCTCGGGGGTGGTGACTAGGATCCACGAGAATCTCTTGCTTGCTCTGCGCGTAGTGAATTTGTTTGGGTTACCTGGCTCCAAGTTCCAGATGGCATCATACCTTCCTGGAGGTCTCGAACAGTTCCTGAGGCAGCGCCTAGATCTCTTCTAGACTGTAGATTTGCTACATTTGGATTCCATCAACCTGCAGGACAAGGTTTCCATTTACGTGTACGGAAGTTTCAATCATGCTTGAGAACGATATGTCGAAAGCCAGCTGCCCTGGTCTTCAATCAAAAGCCCAGGAACCATAGTTTGTTCGATGCCTGCGGTCAGCCCCATTCCCGCGGAACAAAAGCACTGAGGACCTGAACAATCCCGCAGTCGCAACTCCGAATCGGAATCACTAAGTCCCTGACCTAAAGCTCCCAAGCGCGGAGGAGTACGAGTGGAAGCTTCTGACGGCCAGCAACCAAAAGCCAGCAAGCCATAAAGTTGCAGTGACCTGGACTCATTGAGTTGACCCTTTTTGTTTAAGGTTTACCTACTCTATTAGAGGTGCTTAAGGGTATCTAGAGAGCTTTCTTCCAGTCATGTCGGCAAGCTACGGCTAAGCTTACGTGTCGGAAAGATACCGGAAGTTTTTCCGAGCCGTTGGCCCTTGCTGAAGCAATCACACCGGCCCTCTGAATTGAGCACCCTACTGTCGTCTGCCTTTGAAGCCCTTGAAGCCCAGATGCCCTCAGGGTTCAGAATGGGTTTGCCAGGTTTGGGATTGGACCTGTCTCAGGGTCGGGAGAAGAGATCCGTAGATGTAAGAAGAGGAACCACAGAAATGCCTAGACTCTGAACCCTCACCCGTGAAGGTCTAACAAAAAAACCACCTATGAACCCTTTCACATACTCAAGCCTAAAGCCTACATCCCAATCTTCACCCGCAAACGCCAAGTTGCGCGCGTGAGTAGTATTGTAAGAGGATATGCTATAGTCGTACTCAGTATAGAGTAAGATCAAAACGTCCCTTTGCGTTAATGGATTCTCAAGAAGATCACATTTAGCTTAACCATCAGACGACTCGTATTACGTATCCCTACAGCTCCATGTTTCCATTTCATTTTTCATTCGAATTTTCACCATTACCTGCAAAAGACCTTGGTTCAGCCACCCCAAGAGGCACTAAGCACTAATTCCTATAAACCCTTGTATACCCCGAGTTTGAATTCATTTTCCATTCCATTCTCCATTATTGGGGTAAGATCGGGCTTCAACACCAAAACATCCACCCCACCCCTCCTGAGGTGAACCATGGTCCTCAGCTGTCTCTCCAGCAGCCGGAGGGTACATCGGCAACGGTCATGAAGTGCCTGGCTGCGCAATTTGGGGTCTAAGGTTTAAGATGTGGGGGCTAAATTTAAGTTCTCGGGCTTAGGGTTGGGCTTCTGGGTCAGCTCTGGCTTTCTCGGTCAGACAGAGTGACAATGTATGTATAAAGAAATACTTCCTATCTGATCCCTACTAGGGACTCCCCGCAGTTTCCCTCATCCCCATTGGTAGACGTATGCAGTAACAGTAGCTATCGAGATTGTGCTAGTCGTCGGAGACTATATAGGTATACTTCGGACCCGCATACGCGATATGTGTACCCCAGTTATCCCCGTGATTAACCTACTGGTCCCCCCATGTGGGGAGATGCATCCCTTTGAAGAGGCCTTGTGTCTGAAGCCTTGCCCTTCAGCAAGCTTCCGCGCCCCAACCCTCAGAATTTCCAGAAGCCAGCTCAAGACTATGCTGCCCGCTGCATTGTCCATCTGCCATGTGGTAGTTTCCCTACTATAGACCCCCAACATATTGTCATCCTTTCTATAGGCACCGCCGAAAGGGTGCCGATAATTTTGGGAAACCCTAACCTAAACAGTCGTTTCCAGTTTCTCTTCCATTATCCCTATCCCTATGTAGCCCCTATATACTCTCTGTATAGTCCCTAACCCCCATCTGGGATGTGGTAGAGTCCTGCTATGGATGTGGTCTCAAAACCTGAGGCAAGGTAAGGCTACGTCGACGCCCCGAGGGGAGTTGGTCTTCGATTTTGAGGCGACTGACTTTCCGTTGGGCCCACAGGCTTCTTACCTGCAGAGTTGTGTAGGATTAGGGGATGAAGGTCTAGGATAGGGTATTTAAAGGTGCAGTTTATTGGAATCGCACGAAGTGCTTCAACACCCATGCAGGTGGCCTACAACTACAAGGTGGGCTGTACAGAACCTCTCTATAGCTAACTACCGAAACCATGGCAAAAACATGTAGGCCCTGACATTACGTGCCTGATGCAATTCTCTAACCCATACATACGAGCTTCCATATCATTTTCCATTTCCTTTTCCATTTGATTCTCGTTGTCGAGGTAATATCCCCGTATAACAACAGCTCTGATTTACAATCATGTTTCAGGTGGTTCTCCGCGTATGCGGGGTCATATGCTCCATCATAGTTATATAGTTCCTTTATCTTCGAAGGTTCTAACATAGCCCATTAGGGCCCCATAACGTTTCCCAAGTACACGCCCCCTAAAGATCCCAATAAAGGCATTCCCGTTTGAAGTGATTCCAGCAGTTCCTCATCTCCCGAGTCTCTGCCTTGAACGGGGTTAGGATTCAGTGATTAGGGTTTAGGAATTGGTGTTGTGGTTTAGGGATCCGGGATTAGGGGTTTCTTCAGGTTTGTAATTAGCCCTCCCAAACAAGCAGCACTTCCTCATGAGTTGCTTGTTTCGTCGCGGCTGTGGCTCAGCAACTGGATTCATGTCTGGCGGAAGGCAAGCATTTGAGATTCTGTTTGTATGATCCTTTCAATCCCATTTCCTGCAAGGACCTCCGCAGCGGAGCTTCCTCAAGCATTGCATCCTACACTTGCCCAAGTGGGACGAAGGCTTGCTGGTTGCGGGGTTGCTTGGAGCTGAGGATTCGGGGTTGAGGATTTTGGGGTCAAGGGCATAGGGTTTAGGTTCAATTTCATGTGTTTGGGTTTATGGCTTACAGTTCTTTGTTTGTGACTTGCTCGGATTCCAGGATATAGGGAAGATTCCTAGAGCGACTAGCAGGGATCATGACCCTTGAGCGCAGACTATTTTCAGTGATGCCCTCCAAACCTTGGTTTCTTGTTGAACAAGTTTCTTGCTTTCAAGTGGCTTCAGTATCCAACGTGCCAAAGCAAAGCTGGATACCCTAGTGAATCAGACTTTTGAATTGAACGATCATTCGCTACTGCTATCGCGACTTTGTTTTTGGGTTCAGCATTGCAAACTTCTTGTCGTGGACAG